GGATCAAACCCACGTCTCCCGCATTGCAGGTGGATTCTCATTTGTAGCTGAGCCACAAGGGAAGCCCACGCGTATATTGGTATGCCTTATGCATCCTATGGAGCAGGGAATGGCAACCCACTCCAGTATTCTTCCCTGGAAAATTCCATGGACAGAGGAGCTTGGTGGGCTACAGTCCATGGGATTGCAAAGAGTCAGACAGCTGAGCGACTAACACAGACGCATCCTATGTTTCTTTAAGGCTCCATTCATTTCCCTCCTTTACTTTTTAGACTCCAAAATCACTATCAGTCTACCTTTAAGTCCACTGATTCTTTTATCAGCTCAAATCTACCATTGAACCTCTCCAGTAAAATTTTCACCTTGGTCATTATGCTTTTCAATTTCAGAATTTCCATTTGATTTTTAAAAAAAAATAATTTCCATTTTTAATTGATATTCTCTGTCTGAAGACACATTCTCATTACACTTTTCTTTATTTCTTTAAGCATAGTTTCCTTTAGCTCTTTGAACATATTTATAAAAGCTGGTTCGAAGCCTTTGTTAAGTCTGACATGTGAGCCCTTTCAAAAGCAGTTTCTGTTGCCTGATTTTTTTTTTCTGTATATGGGTCATGCTTTCCTGTTCCTTTGCATGTCTCATAATTTTTTTGTTGAAAATTTGACATCTTAGATAATATATTGTAGCAACTCTAGGTACTGATTCATCCATCTGCAGGGCTTATTATTGTTTGCTTGTTGTTTTGTTTGGTGACTGGGCTGGACGCTTTCAGTCAGGTCTGTTACGCTCCCAAGTGCCGCCTCTGATGTCATCCCCCTGCGGGCACTGTCCTGGCATGTGCCCAGCCGCCCTGGAATGACAGTGGTTTCAGCCGGACTCTCTCTGACGCCTCTCCGTTACGTTGTGACCCTCTGTTGGTGTCGCACGCCACAGTTAGCCTCCAAGAATGCTGGCTCATCGCTCTATTGTTTTTGACAAGGCCCCTGGGCATAAATTGCTCCACGGTCAGATTCAATTAAATTCAGGTCCCTTTATGAGGCTCCTCTCTGGGGCCTGCCTTTGAGTCTTGCTGCAGCCCCGGGAAGGCTCCTCTTGGCTGTCTCTCTCTGATAAACTTCCAGCTGGTTCGTATTCATGCAGCTACCAGCTCCCTGGTAATTTCTCACCACCACCATCGCCGCTGCTCCTGACAGCACCCTCAGGGTGAACTTCCTTACTCTCTGTTCCACACGAATCAGTTTCCTGTGGGAGAGCTCAGAGCTGTCTGCTCTTCAGGCCGGTCTCCACTCCCGTCTCTGGGCCTCGGGGAGGGGACAGTGCCTGCTTCTCTCCAGCAAAAGCTCTGCTTTGCGAGCAGGGCATTGGCCGGGGGTGCTGGCCTCTGCTCTTCGTGGCTTGTCCTTGCTGTGTGTGGAATCGCTGCCCTATGAATGTGCAGGGGGAGGGTGGTCAGGAGCCCACCGTCTCACTGTGCTGCCCCTGAGCCAGGGTTTCTGAACTAGGAGTGGGGGCTCCGCCGGAGAAAAGGTCTCCAGCCCTCTCAACTGCTCTCATCTGGAATACCCTTTTGCAACGGAGTCAGGGGAAATGGGAAATGCTGGTGGCCTGTCCCTCCCAGGGGAAAACCGTAACCCCAGACTGATGGCTGGAAGGGGAGGGAGCCCTGTGACACACACACACACACACACACACACACATACACACTTAAATACATATATATATGACTCAGTTCAGTTCAGTCACTCAGTCGTGTCCAACTCTTTGCGACCTCATCAATCGCAGCACGCCAGGCCTCCTTGTCCATCACTAACTCCTGGAGTTTACTCAAGTCGGTGATGCCATCCAGCCATCTCATCCTCTGTCGTCCCCTTCTCCTCCTGCCCCCAAATCCCCCAGCATCAGGGTCTTTTTCAATGAGTCAACTCTTTGCATGAGGTGGCCAAAGTATTGGAGTTTCAGCTTCAGCATCAGTCCTTCCAATGAACTCCCAGGACTGATCTCCTTTAGGATGGACTGGTTGGATCTCCTTGCAGTCCAAGGGACTCTCAAGAGACTTCTCCAGCTCCACAGTTCAAAAGCATCAATTCTTCAGTGCTTAGCTTTCTTCACAGTCCAACTCTCACATCCATACATGACCACTGGAAAAACCATAGCTTTGACTAGATGCACCTTTGTTGGCAAAGTAATGTCTCTATTTTTAATATGCTATCTAGGTTGGTCATAACTTTCTTTCCAAGGAATAAGTGTCTTTTAATTTCATGGCTGCAGTCATATGACTGGCGCATGGTAGAAAATCCACTTGGCAACACTGGACACTCAGGAGACATGAGTTCAATCCCTGGGTTGGGAAGATCTCCCAAGTAGGAGATGCAACACGGCAGTATGCTTACCTGGGACATCCCATGGATAGAGGAACCCAGTGGGGCACCGTTCACAGGGGCGACTAACACTCTCGTGGACGTATATATATGACTGGCTAAATGCTGCCCGTGGTGCAGATGACTAAAACAAATTTCTTGGGAAAAAGGTGAAGGAATGGAATGAGAAGATGGTAAGCTGTCTACAGCTGGAGCATTCCACACGGAGTCCAGCAGGTTTTCTGTTGGGAGTGGTGTCCTGGCTCAGAGGCCGGACTGGGTAGTCTTTAAGGCCGTTTTGGTTGATGAGATCTCATGATTCTAAATACAAACCTGAAGTCCATCTGAGCCGGACGTTTGAGCAGATGACTTGACACTTGTACAGCGTGGCCCTCTCTTTGGGTTTGACCACAAAAGCCTTTCTTCTTGGGTTGCTGCCCTTCCTGGATGATTGGCATGATGTTTTTCTAATGGCAAGGCCACACTGATATTTCAGAAGTCGGCATGTGTGAGGTTATTTAAAGTCCTCCCATTTGAAGCAGGGGCTAATGTGCTGTGAAGCTGACTTTGCCTGACCCATGAGAGGCTCTGGGTTGCTACCGGTTGCACAGATCCTCCATCTCAGAACAGCTAACACGCCCTTCACTGACCTGCGGCCTCCACCCCCAGCGACTCGCCTCTATATTGAGGAGAACCTGGAACCAAGGAGAAGGGGGACAGCTGCTACTTAGGGTGACTGGGGTGACCCCGACAAACTTGGTGCTCATGAGTGGCCCCCTCATCGAGGACTAACACTTTATACCTTATCCATTTCTTTGTGTCCGTGTTGCCCAAGGACTTTTTTGGTTTATATAGCTGCTACTGCTAAGACAAATTCTCTGTGTCAAAAAAGACTTTCTGTCTTGCTTCTAATAAGATGAACAACAACAAAAAAATTACAAAATTACATTTGAACTTGCAAATGTATTTTTAGATCTCTTGTCTCGGACTTCACATCAAAACAGACTGTAGATCATCATCTCGCTTTTCCTTGTAAGCCTGGTCTAATGATACAGGAAAGAAAGAATGAGGCTCAACACACGGGCCCGTCTCCACATGCCCGTGGCCCTGGATCTTTGTTCTCTCCCCACTGCAGCCGAAAAGAGCATGGAGCACATTCAGGGTTCGGCTCGTGGTTCTACCATGAAGCTTGCTGCTTCTGATTGGGTGCTTCGCCTCGATGAGAAGTGGCAATATACAAGGTACTGACTGTTGGCAGCGGTGCGACCAGCACGGTACATAGACCCCAAACACAGGATCTGTCGGGAACACTAATGAAGCAAGAGCAGCTTGCACTGCGATGAAGAAGTGTGTCTTGGATCCTAATGAATGATTCAGCTAATTAGTCACCAGCCGCCCACGCTAATGCGGCGAAGGTGTGATGTGGGTTTGGACAGGGAGGGTGTTTGGTCTCTTTATAGATGTTAGAATGCCAACAGATAATGGCCTGCAGGGTCTCTGGCTGGACCCGGAACAGAAAGAGAACATCAGGGAAAAACATGTGGAGCCGCACGGATATCAACGCCTGGTTCTGACCCCGGTGTCGCAGGTCACGCTGGGGCTGCTGGGTGAGGGTCCAGGGGAACTTCCTGAATTATCTTTGCAGCTTTTTCTACAAATCTCAGATTATTCTCAAAGAAAGAGTTTATTTAAGAAAATGTAAAGGCTCTAAAATTCTCTTAGATGATGAAGGTAATGTAATACTTTTTTTTTTTTGGCCGCACTTCATGGTTTGCAGGATCGTCCCTGACCAGGGATTGAACCCTGGCCACTGTGGTGAAAGCCCACGATTCTAACCACAAAGCCACCAGGGAACTCCTGTAAAGTCTCCTATCAGTGAACTCTGTAATGGCCACAGAAGGCTCACCTGTTCCTGGGGATACATGCGTCATCTAGAAAGTGAGAGGGTGGAACCACAGGGCCTTCTTGAAGTCCTGTCCGTCAGACGCTCTGGGATTGAAGGTGCATCTCTGAGCCATATCTGGGGGGCAAAGTCCTCTAATGTCATCCTCTTCTGAGGCAATCCAGCTAGTTCTCTTTTTGCACGCTAAGTCTCTTCAGTCATGTCCAATTGTTTGTGACCCCAAGGACTGTAGCCCACCAGGCTCCTCTGTCGGTGTGATTCTCCAGGCAGGAGTACTGCAGTGGGTTGCCCTGCCTTCCTCCAGGGGATCTTCCTGACCCAGGGACTGAACCTGGCTCTCTTACATCTCCTGCATTGGCAGCCGGGTTCTTTACCACTAGCGCCACCTGGGAAGTTTAAGTGGAGACGAAAATAAGATGCTCCAAACTGCTCAAGAGCAGGGAAGAGTGTAAATTAATCCTCTGAACTGCCAAGTGGGGACTTGGTTGGCTAGGTTGAAGGTTAGGAGATGGAAGCCTTTCTTCTTCTCCAAAGGAAGGGAAGGGTTCTCTCTGGGGACCCTGAAGTCCCTGCCTGTGTAAAATGCAGAAGCCGAAAGGGAAGATGAGAAAGCACTCTGGCTCAGCCCTGCAGACCTGTCTTGTCCTCTAGAGCAGCTCGGAGCACAGCCCCCTCACCTTCCGTCGGGAAGGAGCATCTCTATCTGGGTGTTGTCAGCCGCTGCTGTTACCCTGGGTGTCATGAGAGGCTGGGTGTGCGTGACCCCGGATGCCACACCTGCGGAGGAGCCTGGCCAGCCTGACCGGGAGAAGCGTGGTGGCTGTCGGCTGATTCAGGTGGGCAGGTGTAAAGAAAGACCCTCTCTTTACAGCACCATCGGCAGTGCCTGCCAAGGGCCCGGAGAGTTCCTTCTTGCTTCACACTTCCGTGGATAAAGGGATTAGGCCCTGCTGAAGCATCCCTAGGAAACAGCATCTATTAAGTTATCATTTGTCACATGTATCGGAAGTGAATAGATTGGTTCCTTTCCAGCATGTGGGTGAGCCAGAAAGTTTCTCTGATTGAGGAGGAGGAGGAGAAAGAAAGAGATAGAAATGGAGGACACGGCCCTCCTGGAAGAGGAAGCGGCAGGTGCGGGAGGCAAGGTTCATTTTGCAGGGACGGTTCGGGGAGCGGGACTCGGCACACTGCGGCACCACGCCCAGCCTTCCCTCATGTGAAGGAGCTCCCACCACCGCAGCCCTTTGAAACGTGACTCTGAAGGGCCTCCTGTGGGGTGAGGGGATGTCTCCAGCCACACTGTGCTCCCAGAAACGTGAAGTAGGCAGGTATGAATCAAGGCAGGAAGGTGCCTTTAATACCTTACGGGTCTTGCCGATTGGGTGAATATCTGGACTGTGATCTCCGTGGCAGGGTTGAATCTAAGACCCAGTCCTTGTGAACACTAGTGTTGGCCGAAAGTGAAATTGTTAGTTCCTCAGTCGTGTCCAACTCTTTGCGACCCCGTGGACTGTAGCCCGCCAGGCTCCTCTGTCCATGGGATTCTCCAGGCAAGAAGACTGGAGTGGGTTGCCATCCCTCCTCCAGGGGGTCTTCCCCACCCAGGGATCAAACTGGGGTCTCCTAAATTTCAGGCAGATTCTTTACCATCTGAGCCACTGGAAGACCCTAGTCTGCTGAAGAGACAGCAAATTGGCCAGGAATGGTTCTGAGTACACTTGAGACCCTGGTAAAAAGAGGCATTTATCTTTTGAGCCCCTGCCAGATCCCCCCTTTCCCTTCCTGTGTCACATCCCAGTACTTTTCTGCAAAATCCCATAAACTGCCCTTGAACCTCACTGCCTCAGACAGCACCTGCAAACCAACTTCTTCCTTACCTCTTGCAGCCCAACCACCTTAGGTCTCTCACCTTAAAAACCTCACCTCCTTGCCAGCAGATTTGTTCATTCACTGGGGATGTTGTGCTCAGAGTGTTATAGGCTGTCCCTGCTGGGATTAGCATGGAGTACTTCAACTTTGTAAAGCATTTCACATCTTTTCTCTTAGTAGAGTTTCATAACACACCCCAGTAACTTGTCCAAATGCTGGCAGCAAAGCTTGAGATGGAATTCAGGGCTCCTGAGCCCCAGGGCCTGCTTCTTTCTCCACACCACTTGATTTTCTATATATAAAAAAATGCACACATTTGTGTCCCTCAGGTTCCAGTGAGTAACCTTGCCTTGTGCTCTGGGAGGTATTTGGAGGCAGCTAGAGCGGTCTGGAAAAGCTTGAGGGCCTTGAAATAATAGTCTGAAGTCAGCTGGCAAGTCTCCCTGGAGCACTGGGGGCTCATTTCTGCCTCTCATCTTCCCAAAGACGAAGACCTCCAAATGGCCTTTCCCAGCCCTTCCCTGTAGATCCAGCATCTTACGTTGCTTACAAGATGTTTTGGTGTTCGTGCTTTGTTTCCTCAAGGAGAACCAAGATCCTGGAGGCTGGGCAGCCTCTTGTCACCCACTGCTACTTCTCTGACGCACAGTAAATGCGCAACAAAATTGGCTGGACCAGACTAATGCTTGTTGGGTGGGGAAGCCGTGCTCCCTAAAATACACCAGAGGTGGTGAATGATGTCCTGGGGCTGACTTTCACAAACAGGAATTTCCCTCAAGGTGGATCTTTTGCAGGACCTCTCAGGTGGCCCATATGCTGACCCCATGTGGCAGCAAGTGGACAAATTCTCAGGACACTCTTGGAACACCTCTTTTGGAAACAACTTGGGCATGTCTTTGATTAGCCGCAATGTTGGCAAAACTTCACCTTTGAAGGTATGCTAGGAGTTTGGAAATAGCTAAGTCATTTGAGAAAAGTTAATAATCTGGATGATGCTATTGTTTTTGGAGGATACTATTTTTGAATATGTGAACAAATACAGAAGTTAAATGATGATAAAGCAACTCACTAGATTTTTCATTATGCTTCATATTGTTTCTTAAAGGGAAAAGGTTCAGTCAGATATGTCTTACTGTAAGCCAAGCACCATGTCTCACCGAATATCTAAATGTCGATTTGAGTATGCCTCCAATTCCTTGAGGGCAGGGATCTTATCTTCACCTCTGTCCTTCCTTAAGACACAGTGCTTGGCGCATGGTCAGTGTTCAATAAGAGACTTTTCAGTAAATGAAGGAGCAGATGACCTTGGCTGCATTAGACAAAATCAGCATAATTATTTTATAGCAATGTGCATGTGTGTGCATTTATTCTTATAGCCTAATGGGCACTGTCACAAAAGGAGGCTGAAAAGAATCATTTTTTAATGACTCACCATTGCTCTGGGGCTGGTGCTCAGGAAGGACCTACCCGGGCACCTCTGCCTTGCAGTCTCACACAGGAGCAGCCAGCTGTTGGCTGGGGTGCAGCCTCATCTGAGAGCCAGGCTGGGGCTGGAGGACCCACGGCCCAGGTGGCTCCATCACCCGGCTGGCAAGTCAAGTTGCTGGTTCTGTTCGGCTCCTCCATGCGTGGCCTCCTCTGCAGGGCTGCCTGTGACTGATTGCCCTGGTGAGTGGCCCAAGAGATGTAGGTAGGAGCCACAGCACAAAGCCTCTGAAGACCCCACTCTGACGGTCTCCCCCATCACCTGCACCACACTCTTGGTCACGCAGGGCTGGTCTTCAAGCAAAGTGGGCAGAGGCTGCCCAGGGGCAAAATCCTGGGCTGTGGACTGGGCTGTCCTGGAGGCTGGAGGCTGCCTCTTCCTCTCTTGTTCCATTCTACATGTTTCTGCAGCCTCCACAGTACACCAAGGACTAGGTTTTTTGGTAGTGGGATGTAACAGTGAAAAAGGCAAGTCCTGTCCCCAGGGGGGCTCACTGTCTTGGAGGAAGAGCCATGAGCAGCATCATTTGATCCCAATGTGTTAAATTGGAGGGGGGGGGGAGTTGCAGATGGACCCAGAGGAGACCCCGCTAAGCTGACCTGGATGCTGCTCTGAGGGACTCATGAGTTTTGGGAAAAGATAGAAGGGAAGACGCCTTGAGAGAGGGGATGGTCTGGGGCAGAGACACGGAGGCACATGTGAGTACCACGTGTTCAGGGGAGCTGCAGGGGTCTGACACAGTCACACGCCAGGAGGCATGTGCAGGGGCTGGCCTCCAGGCTAGATCACGTGGGGAAAGGTCGGCTGGGGTCAGGCTCCCCCAGGGAAGGCAGGACTGGATCTGTGCTTTGGGAAGATCGTTCAGTAAGAGGTAGAAGGTGGATTCAGGAGAGACCAGATGGAGGGGGTGGGTCTGGAGCAAGACCCCAGGCAGAGTCCGAGGGCTTAACCCAGAGCCCCAAGGGTGTCTGGGCACCGGGGAGGGCTGGGGAGCTCGGGAGGTGCTGGTGTGTGGACCGCCCGCAGGTTGGGAAGGTCTGGACGCTCCAGCGAGTGTGCAGGCGATTAAGCCTGCTCCCAGCGTTTCAGTTCAGGTTCGGGAACTGCATGGATCTCCATGGGAGTGCAGACTGTGCTGGCTGGTGGCGAACGGCACAATTCAAAACCCACACACGCTTTCTCATCTGTAGAGTGAATAGTGTTTTCTATTTCCCCCCAAACATTTTGCTTCTATTTTTAGATAACTGTTTTTCTCAGCGTCTGAGAAGTAAGTAATTTGAATAAAGATATTTACACTTGGAGGTTTTCTTAGTACTTCCAAACAGAGACATATGTGTAAATGCTAAACAGTAGCTTCACATCAAACCTTCATGTCTTTCTAATGTTCTGCAGTGGGGGAACCCGCCATGGTGTTGGTTTTCCCATTCTACCTCAAACAGAGGGACTTCCTGGGCTCTGAACTAAATGTAAGCATGTTACCTATGTCATGGAAAGGGTGGCCAGATTGAAGAAAATAAAAATATGGGCTACCCAGTGAAATTTGAATTTCAGACAGATAATTTTAATATTTTTTAGTGTATAAGTATGCCCTCACAATATCTGGGAAGTGCTAAAATTTTCTCTCTTCCTAATCTGGAATTCAAATTTGAATTGGGCAAATTTAAAAACTTAACCTGACAAGCTAAGACTTGGGACATTTCTTCCAGCGACTACTGAACATCCTTGTGACAAGCGATCAGTTAAGGCCTTCTAAAGAACAAAATGAAACATGGCTGGCCTGGTATTGACATGTAACAAGTTCCTGAATTATTTTGAGGAGTTTGAATAAATGGTTTCCCATATTGAGGACAATTCAGCTACTTCTGTGACATGAACTCAACTGCATCCTTTATGATCAACAGCAAAAGCCCTGCTGACACACCCTCTGTTGCACCAATGCCTCACGATGGCCCACGGCTGCCGGCGGCTTCAACACCCATGGTCATTTTTGCTCCCTCAGACACACACCTGAATAAACAGGGGAGACTTATGCTTCGTCTTGAAGGTCAAGGGCCTGAGGGCTCTGTTTGGGCAGAGCCAGGCCCTGGCAGGCGGAGCTCTCTGGAGCGGTCACAGGTCACAGGGTCTTTAACGTGAGCTCAGGACGTCTCAAAGGAGGAGAGGACGTGGAGACCACACAGAGCCTTGGGGATTGAAACTGGTTTCCTGAGTTGCCCTTTGAAGCTGAAGCTGGGGTGCTCCCCTGTGAGGGCCACTGAATGTGTCCTGAGAGCTGCCTGAGGCTGGGCCCGGGACCCCGAGCAGAGCTGCTATTCCCTGAGCGTGTCTGCAGTTGTGAACACAGCCGGGTTCCCCCTCATGCTCTCGCCCCCACTTGAGGTGCCCGAGGCACCTCCCCCTCCCCCGAGGGACAGCAGGTAGGGACCGTCTCAGAGGAGTGAATCCGGGAAGTCTGACCCCTTGACCTTGGTCTCACATCCTTAGTCAGCTGGAACAAACTGGTTCAGAAAGCACAAAATGACAGACCCATGACTGAGACCAAAATTCTCTGTAACAACACTGACTCATATTTCCCGTGAGCTAGATCCTTCCTTCTCCAAGTGTGGCCCCTAGACCAACAGCAGAGGCCTTACGTGAGAGCTCCTCAGATGTGCAGGCTCTCGGACCGCAGCTCGTGTGTACTCAGTCAGACTTACATTTTGAGAAGATCGTCCTGGGCACAGGGGAGTTTGAGAAGCCCTGGCTTGGGTCGCTGTGGCTGGTGGTAGGAAGAAGGAGAGCTCAGGGCAGCCCCACTCTGACCCCTCGGCCGTGGCTGCCCAGGATGCCCTGTCTGCTGGAGCCCTGAGCCCGAGGCCAGCGCCCACGGGACACACGGGGGCTCCCCTCCAGGTGGGAAACGTCACCTGACAGTTACGGCCCTGGGCTTCTCTGATGGCTTAGACCACAGAGAATCTGCCTGCAGTGCTGGAGCCCGGAGCTCCATCCCTGGGTCAGGAAGATCCCTGGGGAAGGGAATGCCAACCCACTCCAGTGTTTTTGCCTAGAGAATTCCATGGACAGAGGAGCCTGGTGGGTTACAGTCCACAGGGTCACGAATAATCAGATGCAACTAAGGACCTAATGTTTTCAATTATGGCCAAAGTCGGCCAGGCCAGTCAGCCCATGCAGAACTCAAGCTCTCATTTTATAACCAAGAAAATATGTGATCGAGCGGGGGACGTAAACAGCCAAAGGTCAGACAGCTGCCCAGGGGCAGATGGATGGAAGGTCAGAACCCAGGTTTTCTGACTCCTAACCCAGTTTTCTTGACACTCTACCTAGAAAAAAGGAAGTCGCAAGAATGCAGCGTCTCCCTGGTGCTGTCAAAGGGTCTTCAGTCGTGCTCTGAACAAAGAACAGAGGCTCCATGGTGAGCCACTGGGAGAAAATAAATATCACACTTTAGCTCCAAGGCCCCTGCTTGGGCCACTGTGAGTCCAGCAAACCTCCTCACTTGAGTGTGAAATAGCAAAGCCAGAGGTGTGCATGTTATTTGTGTAACAGCCTTGTTATCAAAAAGTGCATGGAAAAGTCATCTTGTTTTAGAGACATTACAAGTGTCGACTGTGCTGTCATAAAGCAGAGATGCAATCATAAAGTGGATTAATTGCCTATAACTTTCTGCATAAGAACAACTTTGTAAGTTTGGATTTCCTGCCACCGAGAGTAAGTTAGGACAGCAAAGGGAAGGCAAAAAGGACTCTGGGGTGGAAGTAAACGCTGCTGGAGCACTGTGGCTTCCCGAAGCCCCTTGTGACGTCCAGCGATCGCCTCAGACCTCACCTGGCCGCTGCAGACACGGGTGGGAGTGTGCCTTCCTGAGTCCAGCCCAGAGGTCTGCCGCTGGATCCAGCCTGACTCCTAGGGAGACTCAGAACTGCTTTTGGAAGTCTGATGCACTATCCAGCGCAACACGAAGCCACCGTCAAAATCCTGCTTTTGAGCTGGTCAGATGAACACTGGCATTCGGAAGGCCAATCATGGTTGCAGGTGCTTGTCTGCAAAGTTCATCCCTTGCTGCTCAGGGGACACTTGTGCAAACACTGAGGATGCCGCTAAGGAAGCGGCCATGTTGGTCCCTGGCCCTGGGCCGTCTGGGATTCTCCCGTCTCCCTCACCCCATTTCAGGGTCTTCTCGAATTCCTTCCTCACACCCCCAGCCGCATCTGTCAGCCCGAGAGATTGCTGCTTCTTGCTGCCTTTGTGAGATTTAAAAAGCTTCCCATTCTTCCTTTGAGACAGAGGAGGAAGGCCCATCTTGGCGTTTCTTTGCAGAATGAAGGAGCGGCCCCTTTCAAAGCTCTTGGAAAGCTTTCAATAGAGGGTTTAAGGCTGGACAGAGGAGTACATGTGATTCTGGGCTTAAGATGTTGTCCTCGGCATTAGACCCCAAGAAACCCGGCGGATGTTCCCATTGTGTCCTGGAAATTAAATGCGTCAGCCTTTGCCCCTGAAAAATATTTGCTTAATGGAACAGAGTTGCCAGTTGGGCTGTCCCGGCTGGGAACTGACCTGCTCCGTCTTTCCTGAGGACTTGATTCTGTTGACGAGAGACAGCACTGTCTTGAACGGCGTCCTGTGTCACGTTGCTGATCCACAGGCAACCGTCCCTACCTCCCTCAGGGCAGGCTGAAATGCAGATAAAGGCGAATTCCTGGGCTCCCATCTCTTAGGTTACCTGTGGGCACTGATTTTCCGGCTCAGAGGTCCACAGGCAGTGTTCGTCCTCTCTGCCTCATGCGAGTGTCAGGCCACTATTTATGAATAAACAAACCTATACTATGTATTGATCGCCTATACGATCAGCGTGTGCAGTGCTCTGATGTTGTATAAGATGCTAGTGCCAGGATTTCTCATCTGTGTTTGCGGCAAAGAAACACACATTAAATAACTGGTAACTGCACAAACACCTGCTGACAAGTTATGGGTTGTGAATGACAGACCATTTGGATCAGTTTTGTACATGATGTACATCACCTAAATTAGGGGTTGGGGAACACTGTCATTGGTGAAGGGCCAGAGAGTAAAGCTTTTAGGCTCTGCAGGTGAAATAGTCTCAATCATAGCTAGTCACCTCTGTGCTCCTCTTGCAAAAGCAGCCATGTGTTAAGTGATTCAGTTGTGTCGGACTCTTTGTGACCCCATGGACTGTAGCCTGCCAGGCTCCTCTGTCTGAGGAATTCTCCAGGCAAGAAGACTGCAGTGGGTTGCCATTCCCTTCTCCAGGGGATCTTCTCAACCTAGGGAAGGAACCAGTGTCCCTTGCACTGCATGCAGATTCTTTTCTGTCTCAGCCACCAGGGAAGCCCAAAAGCAGCCATAGAGGCTGGCAAAAGAGAGCCCATGGCTGTTTCAATAAAACTTTATTTAAAAAGTAGGCAGCACACTGGATTTGGCACAGGCAGCGTTGGTATATTTAGCAAATAAAAATCCGGGGAGCCCAGCTGAATTTGGGTTTTAGATAAACAGTGAATGCATTTTGTCCCGAATATTGTCCACTTACCCTGGGCATCCTGGCGTTTGTCTGGCGGGGACCCTGAAGTTTGCAGGTCGCGTATTTGAATCAATGGATATTTTGACTGAGTCAACTACAACTTCTGGCCTTCAGTCACACCCTTTCAAACATGGGGAAGATGAAAGAGATTTTTCAGATGGGAAAACTGGGTCCCAGATGGGAAGAGACCTTCCCCAAGCCCCACAACTGGTTGGGACAGTGGCTCAACCCTGGACCCTGATGCCCGCAGCCCAGAGACCCTGCGCCTGGAAGGAGGAGGCCCAAGGTCAGACCGGACAGCTGTTGGGCCTCTGCTCAGCCTGCTAGGAGCCATCCAGTGTCCTGACCCCACGGACGAAGACCTTCAAGAGGGGGCCTTCGGGGCAGCTCTCTGTGAGCTGGCACGTTTGTCCCTTGCTGTTCTCAAGGATAAAAGTAGGTGACTTCTTGGTGAGGGCACAAATGCTCACCCTCTGTCATTTGGAGGCATCATTCCCAGACGGTATCAGACAGCGGGAATCAGGCCCAGCATCACTGACCTCTAATACATATTTTTAACCTCAGATACATGTATACAAGCTTGTACATATATAGGCAATGTACACATGTATTCAGGGTAAAAGTATTTATTTAAAGTCTCAACCCGCCTCTATGCTCAGGTGCTGGCAGGACACAGGGCACCCACTGGGACCGGCGTCGCCTCGTCACCTGATTCAGAATGGACACGTGTGGGGTGGAGAGAGACACGAGTCCTGATGAGGAAGCCTGAGGTCTAATCCCAGCAGCAGCATCGACTGGCCGCCTGAGCTTCTGCAGGGTTGCTCCTTCCTCGTCTGTAGAACCAGGAGGCGGGCACACTTCTCACCCCACAGGCCACGTGTGCACGCGGCTCCGAGCTGCCGACCTGGCACCTGGCCTTTCACACACGCATCTCTCCTTCCTCGTCCCTGACTGTGCCCGGCGGCGCCCGCCCGGCCCATGCACGGGCACTTACTCAAGGAGCCGGGTGAGCGAGGTCCCCTGTGACCCGCCCTGGGGCGCTGTGACGCTCAGGGGCCAGGAGTGGTGGGCCCCGAGGGGCAGGGGGACGCGGAAGCTGGCTGAGGAGTGCGGGACGGGGCTGTGTGCAGTTTCTACATCTTCCCTTCTCCATGATGAAGGAAACACTCAGAAAAAGTCAATACTCAGGGCAAAATCATGGGTAGTTAATATTTGAAAAAAGCTCTCTGATCTTCCCGCTCCTCTTAAATATTTCTAACCAGGTCTCTGGATCTCTGGAGAGGACCTCTGGAAAGCCTGGCTGCATCGCTGTTTTCTGTGTTTGGTGCCTGGTGGGGGGCACTCAGCATTTTGGGGTCCTCACTTTCCATCACTGTTCAGAAACAATTTCCAGGGCTTTGTCCGCTCGGGTGTTAGGAACACCGGGGAATGCAAAATATTTGGACCTTGTTTGATTTTCTACTTTTTGCCAAGTCTTCCTCCCCCCTCCCCCCCACATTCTTCAAAGGATAAAGGGCACATTAACAAGCTCTTCACTGATGGTGACAATTAGGGTGAATCTGTGAACTCAGATCTGCCAATTGCCTTCATTACTCGGGAACTGACAGTTTGCTTTTCACTCTTCTTTCAAAACTGCGCTTAACGTAAAGCCGGCCCCTCCTGCCGGCTCGAGGGATTTTCTGAATCACAGATTTGTCTTTTAAGCAGCGAGCCGAGACAAGGCGGATGCTCTTAGAGAAGGAAGACGGGTCCCCCAACAACGCAGGCTTTGGGATCGCCTGTTTCCAGCAGTCAAATCCAGGCTCATGCGCCACCTTGCAGTAACTTGTGTTGAACGCTGGGATTAACCACACAACGACGGAACCAAAGTGGAGGCCTGGGGACTGGCCGATTCACTAGGGGTTTGCCTCTGCGTGTACTGATAACCCGGTGAGCAAGCAGGCTGGTTGGAATCTGAGAAGCACGCTTGAGACCACCGACCACACCCTGCAGGGGCCCCAGGCATGGCTCTGTGGGGGGTGTCGGGGGTGGGGGTGGGATATGAGCTTCTCTGTCTGTGACTTTGAAGAAGGGAGATGACAGGTCACTGGAGCTTACCTGCCCTCTGCATCCCTCTCTCTTTGGCTCTGGGACTCGACTGGCCGCCTTGCACTGTAGTATCTATTTTATTGTCTATGTATCAATAATTGGCTCAAAGTTTCACGTTAATTGGGTGGGATCTTCCTTGCAGAGTGACTAGGTTCTAAGCAGTCTGAGACTTGCTGCTGCTGCTAAGTCACTTCAGTCATGTCCGACCCTATGCGACCCCATAGACGGCAGCGCATCAGGCTCCCCCGTCCCTGGGGTTCTCCAGGCAAGAATACTGGAGTGGGTTGCCATTTCCTTCTCCAAAACCTGAGACTTAGGTATAGTTAATTCCCCTCTGAGACCTCCCCCCAACCCATCATCGACAACACCAGATCAAAAAACAGCTAATTAGCACCCACGTCCGCCTTCCTGGGAAGTCGTTGCTCACTTTCCCCGGAGGAAGTCGTTTTCTGATCTTGCCATCCCTGGGGAATGTTTTTCCTCCTCAAAGCATGTGACTAGGAAGACACGGCGTCTGAGATGCCTGCTTCCTTTCTAAAGTCAGAGGAAACCATTGTCGGGAGGGGCTTCGTCTCCTCGGCCCTGCCATCCACACTCACGGGGCTCCTATCGGTGTTGGGACAGGTGTGTTAGTGGGCATGAAAGCGCTCAGGAAAACGGTCAATACTCACACATGGTGCGGAGTTCTTGGTACTTCAGACAAAGATACACGGCCGAGTTGGGGGTGTGTGTGTGTGTTTATATGTTGAGATAGAACACGGTGTGTGTGTTCATGTGTGTGTCTTACTGCTGAGATAGAACTCTATGTATGTGTGTGTGTGTGTATATGGGTTTGTATCTCTGTTTTGCAGCCGAGGACAGCAGAATGCTAACCGCTGCTCCTTAACCTGAAAGGTTAGCTAATGACCAGCACCCAGCACTTACCCCATTCCCAGGAAACATCCTCCTGGGGTCTAAGTAGACACAGCCCTGGAGTGACTTCTTTTTGTGAGTGGCTTGACGCATCTGAAGATCACCCTTGGAAGGGTCTCTCCTCTGCGGTCCGCTCAGTCTGGCCGCCCCGATGGTGAACTGTGCACAGAGGCTGTAAGGATGCCAGCTCCAGACCCCAAAGATGGCTCCAGGCATGCATACCTGCGAGCTGGGCTTTGGGGTCTGGTCCCCACCTCACGGGGCCTGTGGGCAGATGAGACAGGAGAAAGGGGAGAGGCTGCCCCTAGGCTGGTGGCCGAGCGGCCTGTGTTTGGGCAGACGGAGTGCGCTGGGGTGTGGATCAGAGCGCCTGTGCTGGGCTGTGGGCTTGGGGAAGCCCTGTGTGGCCTGCTGGGGACCCGCCTGCGGAGACTCCTCAGGGTGCAGCAGGAGGCCCTTGCAGCCCCTTATCCCGGGCCCCCTCCACGGGTGTGGGGCTCGGCAGCCCCCCAGCTGTGGTTGTCCCCAGGGTGCGTCTTCTTCTGAGACTGCATCCTCCTGGAGCATCAGGTGACCTGAAGCCCCTTCCCCAGGGAGCCACCTGCTGCGGCAGGAGGGCTGCCACCCCCACTCACTCACATCCTGGTCATAGAGCTCCCGTCTCTTTAGGGGACGTTGAATCCATCTGTGGTAACTCATCTGCACGTTGCATGGCTTCACTTTCTGAAGGCGCATTATTCCCAACTTCCAGCCTCATTGACTGGATAAGCGACTTTTAAAAATTATTCCCTTGATCCATGCTTGTTATTGTCAGCACATAGAGAAAAAAGTAGAAGAAAATCCGTAGGTCTAGTATCTAGAGAAAACCATAATTAAATAACATTTTAAGTTGTGTGAAATTGAACATAGAACTTCCACAAGCCATTGCCCCTTTCCCAAATCCTGTTTCTCCTCCTTCTTGTCAAACATAAAAAACACAGGCTCTGCACTCAGGATGTCTTCAACACGCATGTTACATGTACAATCCCCACTCCTATGTTAAATCAAAGGACTGACATCCCGGAGTAACGGCAGATTTTCATTGCTTTTAATTTTTTAATTATCCTGTTCAATCCTCTTTGTGGCTCCTAGGATAAAACTAAATTTCTCAACTTGGGAATCAAATTGCTTTCTGGTAAATCATTTTTCTTTTGAGCCAGTTACACCCAACTCTCTATATACTGAGTTTTGCTTACTACTGAAGCGATTCCTGCCTCCTTGCAGAGTCAGATACTTTAGATTTGTGGAACAGAAAGTTGTTTCACACTAAAGTTTGCTTTCCGGTGAAACTTAGGCATTGGCTTTAACTTCTCAAGGTCTGAGTTGTCTTGGAGGCTTCATGGAGATAACACAGAGCACCTGGCAAACACCAAGTTGGGGCAACCATCCTCACCTCCTTGCTGAACTATGTAATGTCCTCTCTGGCTTTGGGAAGTTAAACAAAACGTCCAGGTTAGTCCATGAATAGCTAGCGATTGTAAGACACATTTTCTGTTGGACAAATATAAAGGGAGGTGGCTCAGATGGTAAAGAATCCACCTGCAATGCAGGAGACCCAGGTTCAATCCCTGGGTCAGAAAGATCCCCTGGAAAATGGAATGGCAACCCATTCCAGTCTTCTTGCCTGGAGAATTCCATGGACAGAGGAGTCTGGCGGGCATGGGGTCGCAAAGAGTCAGACACGACTGAGCGACTAACTCTTTCAGTTTCAAATATAAAGGGAGGACTTCCCTTTGATAAAGAAAATGGATTTCTTCTGATGACTTCTGAGCAAGGGGTACACGAAGTGCAAGAACTGTTGTAAATTGACAGCATTAAAGAAAAGTACCTGGGAAACAGCTTCAGCAGAAGGAGAGGCGCAGTCCAGCGTCTGCAAGATGGAGCGGGCGTCTCCCGCAGACGCCCGACCCCGCTCTCCAGAGACGCACATTTGTCTGTGGGAAGGTGCCATTTCTTGGAACAAATTCATGATGAAATCAAATGGTTTCTTAAGTTGGCAATTCGTTGGCATGAACAACTGTGTAGGTGGTGGTAGACGTTAAAAGCCAGAAATACGCACTTGCCTCGGTTCCACACGCCTGCCCATTGCACCCACAGGAGCACGAGGGGGCCTAGTCCCCCACTGCCTTGTGCTGGGACCTTCTGTAGGTGGGTGGTGTGTGCCCTTGATTCAGATGAGCTGACCTGGGGGGGGACACCTGGATTTTCCTTCACATCCCCTTGAAGAGAGCATCACTGGCACTCTCCAAAAGACGGTGTTCTAGAACTTCCCAGCGGGCCTCCTGGGGCCCCGTTCACCACGGCATCCGCCATGCAGACCGCTGGTGTCTGACCAGCTCCCTGAACATCCCAGGAGGGTGGCTGCGTCTCTTCCACTTTTAGAAAGATCGGCAGCAAGAGAGCCGCACGAAGGAGTTTCCGCGAAAGAGGGAAGAAATGCAGGGCAACGGCCACTCCAGTCTCAGAACAGCCCCTCGGATTTCCTTCCTCCATGGAGGTGAGGAAGACACAGGCGCCGTCTTAGCGAATGGGCCTATCCCCTCCCTTAGTTAGCAGCAGGCCCAGGGCTTCACACAGCCTTTGTAACTCGATGATCGTCTGTCCGGGGGACAAGGAGGCGTTTACTCTCAGTCGATCGAGTAGCTGTTTTTGTCCTTACTGATGGCTCTCAGCTCAAAGGGCAGCCTTTATGTGAAGGCCTGGCAGCCTCCTGTCCCGGGCTTTCTGCCGCACAGCCGGATTCCACCGCCGACCCCCAGCAACTTCCTCCAGCCTCAGACTCCAGCTCTGGCCGGGCAGAGAGCGGGAAGTGGCTGGAACCAGCTCCCTGCCCTGCTGGGCTCTCCCCGCTGCCGGCTCCTGCCCCAGGGACTGTCCCCTGCAGCCTCACCTGTCTCAGTGGCCGAGCTCCCCTCTGCTCCCAGGGACACACGGATCACTGGAGCTGGGCGTCCGGCCTCCGCCCGGGGGAGAGGGTCCAGGTCCCACTGCCTCACTGACATGGAAGTTCCGCTTCGTGCCTGGTGGGGCGGGACTGTGTCTCCCCGCAAAACGCGTGTCTGAGTCTAGACTCTGTGTCTGTGAACGTGACCGTGTTTGGAAATAAGGTTGTTGCAGGTGTAACTGAGGTGAGGTCATGCTGGAGAAGGGTGGGCCTGAATCCAACAGGACCCGAGTCCTTGTATGAAGAGAGGGGGGCAGGGAGCGGGCAGACGAGTGGAAGAGACGTATGAGGGGGAGACTGGAGGGCCGTGCACGCGAGCCAAGGGGAGCCGAGGCCGCCGGCCACGCGCCCGCTGCAAGACACAAGGGCACAGCCCGCCCCAGAGCCTCCGGCAGGAGTGCCGCCCCGCTAACCCCTGGATTATTCATGCTTTCGAACTGCGTTGCCGGAGAAGACGCTTGAGTCCCTCGGACTGCAAGGAGATCCAACCAATCCATCCTAAAGGAAATCAGTCCTGGGTGTTCATTGGAAGGACTGATGCTGAAGCTGAAACTCCAATACTTTGGCCACCTGATGCGAAGAGTTGACACATTGGAAAAGACCCTGATGCTGGGAAAGATTGAAGGCGGGAGGAGAAGCAGACGACAGAGGATGAGATGGCTGGACGGCATCACTGACTCTATGGACATGAGTTTGGGTAAGCTCTGGGAGTTGGTGATGGACAGGGAGGCCTGGCGTGCTGCGGTCCTTGGGGTCGCAAAGAGCCAGACATGACTGAGCGGCTGAACTGAACTGAACCCCTGGATCTGGGGCTTCCGGCTTGCAGACTAGGAGAGACGGCTGGGGCGAGGGGCGGTGGGGAGGGGCCATGTCCTGTCCTTGCGCAGGGAAGGCGGGGAGGCTGGCCCTGCTCCCAGAACACCCCTGGGTCCCCCACACCCTTGGCGTAGCCCACTCACTCCGTCCATGGCCGCATTCAGACTCTGCGTCCCTTTGGGGTGAGGCTGGCAACACCGGCCCCCGGAGAAGCTCCCCTAGCTGCTTGGGTCGGGAAACGCTCTCTCGGCGTGATAGCATCTCGACACGAGGGCTTTTGGGAAAACTACGAAACCGCCGTCTCACTCTCATTGTCAGCGCTCTGCATAGCTCAGGGACTTCCCGTGCACACAGGAATTGCCTCTGAGGATGGGGCGGGAGCCCCCAGGAAGCAATCTTGTAACCAAGCGAGGGCCCCCGGCCCAGCCCCTGGCGCCCCAAGATTGACAGGCCGCAGGGGCCCCAGGCTCAGTCTCCAGGAGCCTCTCTCGTCTTGAGGATGCACACAGCCCCTGGAGTTCTTCTGCAGCAAGGTGTAAACACTTCCTCAAGGTCAAACCGTCAGACTGGCATGCTCAGCCATCTCTCCCGGTCTGCGGGCTGGAAGAGCAGGGCATTTTCACAAGGGTGATTTTTCTTTTTATTTATTATGGCTGTTTGTTTTGAGGGTAGGGAGAGTGTGGTTCTTTTTTTTTTTTTTAATTACATAAATAAACCACATTCCTTACTGAGAAAAAAAACAAAAAACGCACAAAGAGTAAGAACTTCCCTTAGTTTATCTTTAGGCAAAGAAACTTGGAGATAAAGTGGTCCCACATTAGGGGAGTGCTCTCTTCCACCCCAAGAAGCCCGCTTCTCGGATTCCATGTGGTTTTCTCGGGTCACTCCGAGAGGGCAGGAAGGGACCCTGCGTGGACAGGGCAAGGATGCTGACACTCAGGTTAAACCATCGTGCTTGTAAAGTGGTTTGAAGATGAAAAGGCCCGTAGAAGTTATTACGGTCTCGCGGTTAATAATGGATGAGCCGGGCGGCCAAATGGAACATTGATCGCGGCACGTGGGGCCGGGAGCCTTTTGGAGCGAATGTCCTGGCCTGTCCTCAGCTGGCCTTGCCAGGTCCCTCCGCCCTGCCTCGTGCGGGCAGCGGGGCAGGCTCCAGGGAGGCAGGGACGTGGGGACTCTTTCTGCAGAGGGCCTTCAAGGTCAAGGCAGGTCTTTGGGCTGTGGGTCGGGCAGATGCCCCCCTGGCTGGGGGCCCGGGGCAGGCTGTCAGTGTCCGAGTGTCCGACCAGACCCACGGGAAAGTTGGGGTGACAGCTGCCACAGGGCACATCCCCCTACCACGACAAGGCTCCCCTACTTCCCCTCCAAAATCTCCCAGAAGACTCTCCTCGGATCATGTCCAAGGAGAGCCCTCTCTTGACTCGCTGTGCCCAGGAGGCTGCCCTTGTTGACGGATCCGGGGCCGTGGGGGTTTCAGGGGAACTCTGGGTCCCTCTGCACCTCTGCTGCTCGGGGCCCACAGACGCGGAGCCCACATCCTTGTAAGTGGCAGCACGGGGCGCTTGGGCCCCCTGTCCCTGGGAAGGGGTCTCAGCCAGGAGGAGCCAGGCCAGGCTCGGCCAGGGGCACACGTGCTGCCCTTGGGCCCTTCCGCAGGTTTAGCACCCCGAGTTGGATTGGAAGCAGGGCTTCTTCTCGGCCCCTCCAGCATCGTCTGTGTGAGGCAGCACCTGGGCTGTGCTGACGTGGAAGTGCACTAGGGCCTGGGCCAGGGGGCCTGGGAGAAGCAGCACAACCCCTGCTTGTGGATTCAAAATGCATATCTGCATCTTTTTTTTTTTTTCTGATTTGCATCTTAAAGGCTCTGACAAGTCCTACAGAGAGCAACCTGTTTAAACTGTGTCTGCTGCAGCGTTTTCCTATGTTTCAAGGAGTATTATCAATGGGGCACAGAACGAGTGGTTCTCCTGACCTTGGTCAGGATACTAGGTGGCGTGGGAACAACGCAGAGTTTGGAATCACACAGACCTTAGTTTGAATCTTGCTTCTGCAGAGCAGTTTGAGCCAATGAGTGATCCCTGCAGTCTCGGGTTTTCCATCTGTCAACGACCTCCACCTCCCGGCATTGCTGAGAATGAAGTGAGATTGCATGTGAAATGCTTAGCACTGTGCTTTGGGCATAGTAAATGCCTCACTGAAGGCATTCTCGATACTCTTTTTATTCTTGTGGTTCCCAGGGCTAGCGTTAAATCTGAAAGTCCAGGTCTGGATGTGAGTGTCGCTGTCTGCCTGCTTGCCCCCGACGGGGATGTGTGGGTGTCATGGTGCTCTGGGGTCACCCCGTCCACTCCTTGCCCAGGTTCTTGGCTCTGGTTCAGCCAATGAAGTCAGAATTATTAAGGAACAGCAAGCACTTTCCCCCTCTGAGTATTAACGGTTTGGAGAAAATGGTTGAACTGTTCTTGCATTTAATAATTAGATGGAACGCGTTCATTTATATTTCCAGGGAACTCCAAGTGCTCGCTCCATAATTAAGGTAATAGCGTTGCGAGGTGGCCGGAGCCGGAGGCCTGCAGGTGTGATGCGCACTTCCTCACCAAGGTGCGCGGCCAGGCAGGGCTCCGCGGCGCTCTCCGCGGCAGCCCGTAATTAGCCCCTGATTTATTTCCCCTTGTTCTCATTTCCAGCCTAATAGATCTTACCGGTTATTAGTTTCAGCCACACGTCCAGCCAGCTGGGGTTGGGCAGGCCACTTGCTTTCTCATTCATGATGATGCCGGAGCGTTGAGGTCTTAAATCCGATTGATGACGCTCAGGGGTGAGTGTTTTCTGACTCTCAGGGCCCGACCATTCACTGGTGCTGTGGGGACTGCTGACCCGTGCTGCTGATGAGGATACCACCAGCTAGCCGTTGTACGGAACTTGGCCCCGAAATCCCAGGGGCTTGACACAATGGAAGTTTACTCTTGACAATTTATAGTTGACAGTTAGAAATTGTGTCTATGCTGGGTGCACGACAGGATGATTTTATTTTTATTTATTTATTTTTAAGACAGGATGATTTTATATGTGTGTACAATGCAAAATACTCGCTACGATCGAGTGAATTAACAAATGCACCGTGTCGTTCAGTTACCGTCTTCTTTCTTTTTTCCTTCCGTGGGGATAACCATCGCCGTCTCAGCAGATTTCAAGTACACAGTGCGCACTGTTGGCTGCAGCCTCACTGTTGCGCTAAGATCTCTGGAGCTGACTCATCTCGCCTGACTTGACCCGGCCACCCCTGGACCAACATCTCCCCACCGTGGGAGTTCAGGTTCCGGCAGCCCCTTTCTCCTGCGACTGCTGGATCATCAGTCAGAAGACGGGGCGGGGGGTCTCGTGGAGGAGCCAGATGGCTTCCTGTCCCCCGGGGTGGGAGCACCACACCCTCTCTGCCCACCCTCAGTGCTGAAAGCCAGCCCCCAGCCCCCGGGGGCGCAGGAGGGTCTGGACGCTGTGGACCACGGCCGAGCAGCCGCTCCACAGCAAGGACATGGTCAGTGCGAGGAGCGCAGTGTGGGTGGGAGCTGCCCTGACCCCACTGACGCTGCGGTTCCAGAGCCCCTCGAGAGGCACGCATTCTTACCTGGATCTCAGCCCCATCTTAGGACTCTCCCCTCTTCCTCACTGCCCCTGGGACATGCTGGTCCTGGCTGTTTGGGTTGTGGGTTTTTTCTTTTTTTTTTTTACCATTCAGATTACATTCTGGAGCCAAATGAAATGTTTCTTCCTTAGAAGGCCCTCCCCACAGGGCCTTGCTTCCCTGCACCTCCACCCACCCTGATTTCTAAATCTTGCTCTGTTTAATCATTCCCTCTCACTATTCAGTCCGTGGGGTCGCAAAGCATCGGACACGACTGAGTGACTGAACTGACTGATCGCTATTCAAAACTCTCATCTGTTTTTTAATTTTTTGATGTACCATCGCCTTTCTCCTTAAGTTAGGTTTGACTGCCTTAGTCTCTTCTGAAATCTCAGAAAAGTGCTTTGTACATATTCGGCATGTGATAAATAAAATGGTTTCACTGTAAGAAAGTTAGAATTTAAGTTAAAGTGATCAAATAAAAGGAAAAAAAATCACTCTGTAATTCATGTCTAAGAAACACTCTTGTAACACTTTTCCGTGCCTCCTTTGGATTATGCATGTGTAGGAATTTTGTTTGCAAACGAGATCATGTTGCAGTCTTATCTTGCGATTTAGTTTTATCACGTATTTTTTGTATTGTCAAGTGTTCTACACCATTTTAATGCCTTCTTGGTATTTCATTGCCTGAGTGGGATGACTCACACACAACTTCCTATTGCAGATGCTGTACTAAGAGGTTTCTCACCGTCCGCCGTTATTAACAAGGCTGTGGGAACACCTCTGTCATCTTGTTGTTCGGTTGCTCAGTCACGTCTGACTCTTTGAGACCCCAACTGCAGCACTCCAGGCTTCCCTGTCCTTCACTGTCTCCCAGAATTTGCTTGAACTCATGTCCACTGAGTTGGTGATGCCATCCAACCATCTCATCCTCTGTCATCCCCTTCTCCTCCTGCCCTCAATCTTTCCCAGCATCAGGGTCTTTTCCAGTGAGTCAGCTCTTCACATCAGGTGGCCAAAATATTGGAGCTTCAACTTCAGGATCAGTCCTTCCAATGAATATTCAGGACTGATTTCCTTTAGGATGGACTGGTCTGATCTCCTCGTAGTCGAAGGGGCTCTCAAGAGTCTTCTCTAGCATCACAGTTCAAAGGCCTCAATTTTTTGACTCTTAGCCTTCTTTATGGTCCAACTGTCAGATCCAAACATGACTACTGGAAACTGGAAGTGTTTCTTCAGGATTGATGTTTACACTCTTGGAGATGAAGTATTGTGCATTGTATGTGAATATTTTATGTATTTTTTGCATATTGTTGGATGGTGAATAAAAGTTTTTTTGCTGCTGTTGGCTGTTTACGACGGCTCCTATTTCTCTCTTTCTTTCCCAACGGTGGGATTTTGCTTCGCTTCACGATTGCTTTGCTCCTCTTGTGCACGCGGACATGAGGACAACACAGGAAAACACCTCCAGTGTTCACACGGGATGACTCGGGCGTCACGGGCTGCCAGTCATGGGGATGCCGCAGAGGGTCCCAGGTGTCTGCTTTGGGCTCTGGGGGGGCCAGGTGCTGAGTGCAGAGGCAGCCCTGGCTCCCCTGGTCCACCGCCTCCGTCTCCCAGCCTGCAGAGGAGACCACCATCCCTCCATCTCCCGACCTGCGGAGGGGACCACAACACCTCCATCTCCCGGCCTGCAGAGGGGACCACGGTCCCTCCGTCTCCCAGCCTGCGAAGGGGACCATGGTCCCTCCATCTCCCGGCCTGCGGAGGGGACCACAGCACCTCCATCTTCCGGCCTGCAGAGGGGACCACAGTGCCTCCATCTCCTGGCCTGCAGAGAGGACCAGGGCGCCTCCATCTCCCGGCCTGCAGAGGGGACCACAGTGCCATGATGATGTGCAGACCCACGTCTCCCGGAGCAATGCACCCTCCTGAAGACACAGAAGTGGAGCCCAGGCCTCTGATCTCAGGGCCTCCAAGGTGCGACCTGCTGCAGGTATGTGCTTGCATGGCTGTGGGGAGTGGCCTGGCGGTGTGCTGGTGGTGCCCTCCACACATGTGGTGCCAGGAAGGAGGGGTCCTGGGGGCTAGAGGGGGTAGACTTGCCTTGGGGAGGGGAGGAGAAGGCACAGTTCGTGGAGGACGGCTCCGGGGGCTGTGGACAGAGGCACTAATCCCCCAGGGAGCAGAGTGTGGAGGGGCTGGGAGGTGAGGGGTCTGGGGGTCTGTGACGGGCTGGGAAGGCCCCCGCCTGGATGCTGTTGCCCTGCGCCTCTGGGCCTGGGTTGGAGCGAGTCTCAGACCCCTGCCCTCAGTTTGGGGGCCATCACCACGGACGTTCCTGTCCTCCCCCTCCCCCTCTAGCTTTTGGACTGGTTTTCCCCCAGCTCTGCCTGGCACAGCTTGGCACAGTCCCCACACACGTCCAGTGCTCAGGCCTGTGGGCCTGGTCAGCTGCAGGGCCATGGGCAGAGGCCCCTCCCCGTGAAGACGCACTCGCCTCTGTGTGTCCCGCGGAGGGAGGTTTAGGCTCACTCTCCCGAAGGACAGATCACCCCAGAGCCCTGCGGATGAAAAACTTTGAACAGGATGCTTCTGAACGATTTTTTTAAAATAAGATCAAAACCTGGGCCGAGACCTGATGGGAAAGCTCTGCTGTGTTTAAGAAGCTGGGATGACCCGGGCTCCCCTGCACTCCAGCCCATCGTCAGGGTCAGGGTCAAGGTCAAAGTCGGTCCAGGTGCAGCCTCTCTCTGACTCCTGACAGACGAGGACTGGGGGAGCACTTTCCCACCGGCGTCCCAGGACCAGAGGGGGACACAGAGGCGGGTCAGGGGCCCTGCGGAACCCCCGGCCTCTGGCCCCACACGCCGCCTCCCTCCCCTCGCTGCAGCCTGCTCTGACCGCGGGGTTCTGTCTCCTGCTCTGACCACGGGGTTCTGTCTCCTGCTCTGACCGCGGGGCACCGGGGGCGTCCAGGGGACAGAGGACACCGCTTGTCCAGGAGGGCACACTCCTCCTGGCCTGTGAGGCCTGCAGGGCCCAGGGTCACCTGTGCTGCAGACACGGGGTGTGTGGCTCTGTCCCCGGGAACGGGCTGCCCCAGCCCCCCCACGAGGGTCCCCCGGGGGCCCCGCACCTCCGCCTTTGGGGCTGCCTGACATGGGGCTCTCACCCCCAGGCTCAGGAGGCCCCGTCTGGCCTCTCAGTGGAGTCCTACCAGGGTGCCAGCGCAGCAGGGGCAGGAGGCTGGGGCTCCCGGTGCAGGATGGACGGTGAGCAGGGTGGCGGCGGACAGGTCTCCTGCTGACGCCCGGCGCGCCCCTGACCCTGGAGGAGACCAGCGCTTCTGCCCCTGCAGGCCTGGCGGCCCGGGCAGAGCCACAGCTGCAGCCGAGGCCCCCGGACGACCTGTCTCAGGAGGCTGGCTGGGGGCGGGAAGGGCCTGGTCAGCGAGTGAATGAGCCAGTGAGCGAGAGACCGAGGGCAGGGCAGGCCCAGGTCTCCCCCGGCCCCCGCCCCCCGCAAGGGCCGTTCCCGCTGCAGAGGCAGCAGAGGAGCCTCTCGCTGCGCAGGGCACCCCCGCCCCCCTTCCCGAGGCCAAGGCTGGGCTCCCTGGAGTTTCCCAGGCCGCTCTCCCCGCCTCCAGGGCTCACAGTCCCGGGAAGTCCCGGCGAGCCAGGCCCTTTGAAGTGGAGCCCCCACCAGGCCCACGGGGCTCCCACCTCCGCCTCAAAGGCCGGAGACGCAGCCATTCGGGGTGGTGGGCCTGCGGGGCTGGTGGGGGCGGGCGGAGGGGTGAGCGGTCTGAGCCCCATGCTCGCCCGGCAGAGGGAGACGGGGTGGGGGGAACCAGCCAGACTTCAGCCCTGCCACCCCATGTCTCTGCACCCTCATGTCCCACTGTGGGCCGGAGGGCGCACTCACCCCGGGGTGCTTCCTGAGCACCTACTGTGTGCCGGCAGCCAGGCAGAAGGGTTCGAGCCAGCCAGGGCCTCTCCCCGCGCACGGACTCTTTGCCTTGCTGCAGCTGGGCCCCCGCCCGCCCGGCGAGTCTCCCCAGCACCCCCTGATCCTGCGGTTTGCTGAGGTCTGCCCAGGCTGCGCCCAGGTGCGTAAGCTCAAGGCTCCGCTGGTTTAGCTCCTACAGGAGGAGTAACACGAATCCCGGGGCCCTGGGGAAGCCAGGCGCGTGCAGCCCCCACACCCCCCCCACCTAGCTTCCAGTTCTGGGGGGCGCGTCACTGTCACGGCGCCTGGACGCGGGGGTGAGGGGTTGTGCGGCTAGCTCAGGACACAGGGGCACGTGGGTCACTGCTGGTGCGTTGGCGGGATGACGGCCGCCCCAGGCTCTGGGGGCAGTGGGCCTGCGCCTCTCCTCGCCCGCTCCGCTCTGCTCCTCACCCGAGACCAGACCCAAGAGGAGCAGGGACACAGCCCGGCTCATCCAGCAGCCTTGCGCCCCACCCCGGAAGAGCCAGCCTCTCTCTTTCCTGCACCTTCTGCAGCACTGCTTTTAAAACTGCGGGCTGAGAACCATTAGTGGGTTTCGAAATCAATCTGGAAGGTCATGACCAGCATTTCTATAAAAAGTGAAATCAAAGAAGAAAGAAGATGGAGCGTAGCAGAGGACGCCTCCTCGGGGAAGGCAAACGTGGCTCTGGGAAGCGCATCTTCCTGCAGGCGCACGCGCACCCCCTGGGGCCAGTCCCCAGCCCTGGGTGGCCCCTGGTGCTCCAGCGCAGGGGTGGCTGTGAACACTGGCTTCTAAAAGCTGAGCTCTGCTCGGCAGGAGCTGACGGACTAGTTACCCCACTGATGCGGAGCCTCGTTTCCTGCTGAGAAGGCGGGCATGTGCTTCCTGCCTTCATTCCACAAGTTTTTGTGCCATGCAGGTTAGGAAGCTTACTTCCCTGTTTCAAACAAAAATAAAAGGACTTTTTCTTTCTTTCTTGCAAATCCTGCAGCAAGCCTCCAGAGTCTCGATCCCCACTTACGTGCTAGTGTTTCGTTTTTTAACTAAGAGGCATAGCTGTGTTTTCTCATTTTCTGAGGCCGGATCATAGCCCCTCATCCCAGCTCATCGCTGAAGACCCAGCTTCTGCTCTCCCGTCTGCGAGGGTCCCACCTGGGCGACCCCGGGGCACCTCACTTGTCTCCTCCCTTGTCAATCCTTCACACGGAGGCGGGTGGCAAGATCTTCCCTGGGGATCTTCCATTTCTCGCTGGTCAAGTCTTAGAATCATTTTCATTTCCAGATTCAATAAAAAAAAAATTCAATGTTTCCATACACACTGCTTTCTGATCTTGAGTATCTGGTATCTGTTTCTGCCTTGACGATATGTGCAGCTCAAGGGTTCAGGTGGGCACCCAACTCTGGAAATGTGCCTGAAACCTGGGCCTCCACATGGGCCCTGCGTGCGCCTCTCCCTGAGTGAGCAGTGGCCAGTGGGGAGGGACGTCTCTGTGTCGCCCTGTAGGGAGCCCTCGGCAGGGGGGTGATCTGCAGAGGAAGGTGTGCCCGTCGCCACCCGTGTGGGTAGCGGGGCCACAAGTGGAGGGTCGGGTTCTCGCCCCCACCCCGTTCCAGGGCAGAAGTCTAGGGGTTCAGCCTTCCCTGTGGGGCCGGAGGTGTGGCCCCAGGTCATCCTGCCATCTAGCGGGGCGGGACCCTCCACCCCCCGCAGCGGAACCAAGGCCCTTTAGCACAGACTCCTTCTTTGGACACGGCAGCCACGGGCTCAGCAGGGCTTCCGCTCGGGCAGTGGCGGCCAGGGGACCAGAGACGGCCTTTGAGTGGACACTGCGCTGACCACGTGCGCCCCGACCCTTTCCCCTCCCAGCGGTCCGTCCTCTTGTCTCAGATGCGGCCGGACAGGCTCTAGCTGCGCCCGCCCTGGACTGGAGACCGGCTCCCTCTGTCCGGCTCCTGCCGGGGGCGGACGCCACAGGGCCTCTCCTGCCTTCTCTGGGAGCAGCCGTTTCTTGGAAGGATCAACATGAGCGACATGATGGACCCCGTTCCTGTGTCACCCACAGCCTGCTCTCTGAGTAGCCTGCCCCCTCGGGAATGCAGCGCTTGCCACCTTCAGCTTTCCCGCAAGCGCCGCCAGTCCTGTCTGCACATCACAGGTTGCTGCTGTTCCGCCACTCGGTATGTCCGACCGTTTGCGACCCCATGGACGGCGGCACGCCAGGCCTCCCTGTCCTCCCCTATCTGCACCTCAGGCTCACATCCTAAATCCACAAGAGCCATCCTGAAGTGAAGTGAAATGAAAGTCGCTCGATCATGTCTGACTCTTTGTGACCCCATGGACCATACAGTCCATGGAATTCTCCAGGCCAGAATACTGGAGTGGGTGGCCTATCCCTTCTCCAGTGGATCTTCCCAACCCAGAAATCGAACCGGGGTCTCCTGCATTGCAGGCGGATTCTTTACCACCTGAGCTATCGGGGAAGCCGTCCTAGACCTGGTAACTCTGGAGGCGTGGTGACTCGCATCCCCTCATCACCCCGCCCAGGCTCGGCCTCCAAGTTTGCTGTCTTCCTGCAGGCAGACCTGCTTGTCGATCACAAGTGAATATGGACTGTTAGGCGTCTCTTCTGCTGGTGGCCCGAAGCACTCACCCAGGAGACGTTCCTTAACCATGGCCCCTCGCTTTCCCCCGTGTTCTGGGGACGCTGCTGACCCAGGGTCAGAGGCCCTCAGAAGCCTGGGCCACTCGGTGCAGGGCTGAGTGTGGGAGCACAGCCCCAAAACCCGATTTTACAAGAAATATTGCAGATTTTCACAGCCTATGAAGCAGTGATTTCTGGATCTAAGTCCCCGCATGAGCCAACATCATCTAGAGCTCAGTTTGGGAGGCTTGGATTAAAGAGGGGACTTCAGCTAGCACATTTTACAGGTGGGTAAATGGAGGCACAGGGCTTCTGAGTGAGCCTGCAAGTGCCCACCCAGCTTGTAAGCCTCAGGACAGGGACCTTCACACCACAGGGCAGAGGGTGCTCTTTGCCACCTTACTGTATATAGCCTCTGGGCCGGCAGAAAATCCCACCTAGACAGGACGCCGTGGGTGGACCGGGCTGGGGGGTCCCTGGGTCCCCCGCTTCCTCCCTCAACAGGCGGGCTTGCTTCCCACCCTCTTGGGGTCCCCAGGCGGCAGGGAGGGAGGCACAGCATCACCCAGTGTTCGGTGGCCTCCTGGAGCTCAGAAGGTGGGAGGAGGGAAAACCAAGCCACCACAGATGAAGTTAAGTCAGCATTTCAAATGTGACTCCAGTCACAGGAGGAGCCCTGTGGTGTTTCGAAGTGTTGAGAGGGTCTGGGGGGGCTGGCCACACCCCGCCTCCAGGGTGTGGTGGGCTGGACTTGGCAGTGGCCCCCACGCAGGCCACAGGTTCTCGCAGGAGGAGACCGTGGGAGGCAAGGGTCCAGGCGCTCGGCCGCTCAGAACAGACTTCCTGAGTTCGTGCAGCAGAAGAGAAGAGATGCTCCACTCTCTGCCCTGGAGAGGTGAGGATGGGGCAGGGGACCAGGTGCCCCTGGGGGGCTGTGAGGGGAGCCCCGGCCGTAGGGGTGTCTCGGGTAGCCTGCAGGAGCTGCACCCCCAATGCTGGAGGCTGAGTGCTGAAATTCAAGAAACTAGATCCTGCCCAGCCGGGAGCCAGGGCTGCCCAGAGACCTTCCACTTACGAAAGTGATGAACTGCCTTTGTGTTTGGTGGGGACAGGGTGGGGGCAGTCACTTACAGAGCCAGGCCTGGGCAGAGACCTCCAGGTTCCACTCTAATTGGCCCCACACCTGCCAGAGCCCAGCTCTGACATCTGTGACTCTATGGACAGCCCTGCCCATCTGAAAGCTGAGCTTCCCAGCCTTCCCGTCCAAACACTCTGAGTCTGTTTCCATCAAAGTTAACACTTGGGTTTAGCACCATGCATGAGCCAGGTGAAGGAGGCAAAAGGTGGGGAAATGATGGCTGTCTTTCTCTCTGTGAAATCAGTGTAAAGCAATTAAAAAATTTTTTTAAAAATTAGGAATGTTAAAAACCAACCGAAACTCACCAAGCCAACCAACATGCATGTCAACAAAACCAAGGCATGCAGCCCGTATTTTTGCTGGGAAATGAACAATTCTTCCTTAACAGCTCAGGTGATTACTAACCAGATTTTTGTTGTTGTTGTTGTTGTTCTGGTTTGCTCCATTTTCAACGTCTGATTCCTTGCATTTTGCTGACTTCCTACCAAAAGTTTTAGGAGAAGGGGACGACAGAGGATAACATGGTTGGATGGCATCACGGACGCAATGGACATGAGTTTGAGTAAACTCCGGGAGTTGGTGATGGACAGGAAGGCCTGGCGTGCTGCGATTCATGGGGTCGCAAAGAGCTGGACATGACTGAGCGACTGAACTGAACTGGACTACTGAAATATTTATTTCCGTTTTGGACACGTACAGCTGCACGGGAAAGCAGTTGGGCCATTACTGACGGACGTGTGGGGCCTGTCTCCTGGGAAGCGTGCTCTGTGGAGTCCACGCTTGGCACAGCCCGGGGGACACACGCCCTCGTGCCCATGGAAACCAACTTCTCTTCCCAAGGAGTCTCACCAGCCTTCAGGGTTTCTAACAAGGCTCCGGTCCTGATCAAGGCCTCTGAGCCTCCAGCAGCGGCTAATTAAAGTGCCGGCATCACTCGATGACTAATTAGGGTGCAGCCACCTCGGAAAGGCGGGCTTGCACCCCAGATGTGTGGTACCCCCTCCTCGGGTGCTTAGCATTGGTCCTGGGAGGCCTGCTTCTCCTCTCGATTCTTCTCAGGGCCTAGGTGACCGAGTCCTGTTAGTGCCTGCTGAGTTGGGGGCTTTGGCTCTTGGGAGCAAAGGGCTGGTGGGGGTGGGAAGGGAAACAGGGTGGTTCTTCTGGCAGTGATGACTTTTACTTAAAGTCTGTGCCCAACACAAACCAACTTCCTTGAACAGCAGCACATGACAAACCTCCCAGCTCTTCACAATGACACCCGGCTCAAGCGCATCTAATTATTCCTGTTTTGATGCTTGCCATCAATCAGTTTTTACACGAACCCAATGACCCTTTTCAGAGACATCATTTCAAGACTTTTCTACATGTTCCACTCCTAATTGAGAAAATAAAGGGGTTGCTAAGTGGAAGCAGGTACGGTATATTTTAAGCAATCAGCAACTTGTTTCTTTCATACGAATTCAAGTCAATCTTGGCAAAAGGTGAAAGGGGAGCATCAGTACTCCAGCTAGTGATGTTTTTCCTTCCTTATTAAATCAGTTACAAATGGTCTTTGTTCTTCTAAGACAGGCTCTGAAGGGTCTATTAGGGCGTCCGCGGCGTGGCATCCCTCACCTGCACTCTCAGGGAAGGCAGAGATAATTAGGCGCTGTAATTGTATCACATCTTAGAATAGGAAGAGGCCTTTCAGAGCTTGTGGAATTTGGTTCAGGCTTTTTGAAATCAGAGATATGAAAGTGGGGGTCCCACGAGGGGCGGAGGCCAGAGCTGGAGCCCTCTGCCCACTGGCTTCTCTCAAGGCAGGTTCCAGGGCCCAGTCTGGGGGCGGGGGGCAGGCTTGGAATTTCCCAGCTGGAATCTCCCAATCCCACACAGAGCCCACCGCCACCCACTGCCCCTCCTCAGTTCCTCCTTTTTATTAATGAAACAAGGTGATTGCAGTTGCCACTGTCGGCAGAGCACCGATGTGTTCCAGGCGCTGTCTTGACCCTCAGCTCCTGCAGTCCCTCCTTCAGTTTTGCGAGGCCGTGAGGTCGTGCCCACTTTACAGACGAGGAAACTGAGGTGGGCGGAGGCCTGATGAGTTGGCTGAGCGGGTCATGAATGAGCTGGCTTCACTCAGGGGGAGGGTCTGGGTCTGATGGACTCCAGGCCGCTGCCCACAGCTTCCTCCTGTCCAGACCACCCACCTCCTGCCTCCCAGCCCCCCAACCCCCGAAGCCCGGGTTTCCTGGACGACTGCAGCAGAGAGGGCTTGCCAGTCCCTGAGTGTTGGCCCGTCCGGGGACCACACTGCTTCCCTCGAAGCTGTCCCGGCTGCTGCGCCTGCTCAGGTTTATATTCGAGACTCTCAGACCTGGAGGGGCCGTGAGGATCCTGGCAGCTATGGGACCTGGGAATAGCCCCACCCTGCCCGGCACTTCTCACCCTCTTCGTGTGGCCGGCCTCGTCCTGTGTGCGCTCGGGGTGCATCTGAGACGCCCGTTCTCTGACTCTTGTGTGCAACCCAGTGCCCCTCGGTCAGTTGTCAGGGCGGGTCTGTGTGGGTGTGCACACAGAAAGTGTGTGTGCCGCTGTGTCTGTGTGTGCAGGCAGGCGTGCATGCATGTGTACCCTGTGCAGGTCTGCACGTAGCTGTGTGTACCCACGTGAGTCCGTGTACACGTGCGTCAATGTATATGTGTGTCCGTGTACACGTGTGTCCATGTACATGTGTGTGTAACACGTGCGTCTGTGTACGTGTATACACATGCGTTCCTGTGTACATGTGTGCATGTGCATCTGTGTGTGTGTTTGGGGGTCCCCAGGCGTGCACTGGGGTGGAGACCAGGCAGGCGTTCTGGGCTGAGCTGGGGACTCTATGGGCCGCTGAGTGTGAAGGTGGGGCCTGGTCCCCTCCCATCCCCCTCTGCCCAGGGAAGCATCCTGAGGGCTGGAAAGAGAAGGCTGCCATGCCCCTCCCGGCCGCTGCGGGGAAGCTGGGCTGGGTGCCCTCAGTGGGCAGGGTAGGGACCTGCGTGGAAGAGAGGCAGGACCGTGGAGATCAGTCTCCTAGGCCAGACCACCAGCACGCGTGGGATCCTGGGCAGGAAACGGGGCTCATCTCCCACGACCTTTCCCAGCAGCACGATGTCACCTCCTGCTTCCGTCCCTTCCAGGCCCTCCCTGCCCCACAAGTCTCCTCCCCCAGGGGTCCTGACGCCCCTCCAGGTCTTCCAGGCAGTAGTTGCTCTGGCTGCTCCCCTCTGCATCTCCCTGACCTCAATGCCCATGGCTCTGGGCACCTCTGCTGTCCAGGCCTGGCTTCCCTGTGGCTCTGGGCACCTCTGCTGTGTGGGCCTGGCTTCCCCATGGCCCTGGGCACGTCCACTGTCCAGGCCTGGCTTCCCTGTGGCCCTGGGCACCTCTGCTGTGTGGGCCTGACCTCCCCGTGGCTCTGGGCATGTCCACTGTCCAGGCCTGGCTCCCCCGTGGCCCTGGGCACCTCCGCTGTGTGGGCCTGGCTTCCCTCTGCTGCTCCTTCCCAGTCTTGCCATCCCCCTGCCACCTGTTTCAGGTGCACTCACCCCGTCCTGGCCTGGGGCCCGTGGACTCCTGCCCCCTCCCCACGAGAGCACAGTACTGTGGCATCAGCAGGGCTGCCTGCTCCTGCTCGCGGGCCTGTGGGCCTGGACACGGCAGGGACAGGGAGGCACAGCAGCTCTGAACCCTGAGTCGCCTTCTTGCAAACGCACTGGGGTTGCCGCGTCTCCTGGGGCCGGGCGGTGACCGCAGCGCTTTGGCACGGTCCAGCGAAGGGCAGCATGTTCTGCCTGGGGCCCAAGCGGCAGTGCTGCTGTGGGGCGGGGGCACGCGGGTGCCCCGTGGGCTGCGGCACCAGCCCCGTGCTCGCTCACCGGCCCCTGTGGGCTGGAGGCAGCCCAGAGGCTTGTAGCAGTTTCTGCAGAGGTGGCTCGGGGGCCGTGGAAGAGAGAGCGTTACGTACGTAGCGCCGTGAAAGTCCTGCTGTGGAAAGCTTCCCTGGTCCCTCCTTGTAGAATTCAAATCTCAGAGTCCCTGCAAAGGCGACCCAGTTTCAGGGCTGACATCCTGTGCTATTTTCCCCACTTAAAGATGGATTACTTCTTTGCCCCTCGGAATTGACGATAATAGGGTTTTGCCGTACGTATTCATAGTTCTCTGGGCAAGACGCTCGGCCATGTGGGTTTGGTAGAGCCACAGTTGTCAGACTTTAATGTGTGTGACGATCACCAGGGAATTCTGTTACAATGAAAAGGGGGGCTCTGCCGGTCCTGGGTGGGGCCCGAGGGGCCACGTTTCTAGCAAACGTCTGGGCGATGCTTGTGCCTCAGTCCAGGGACCCCACGTGGACAGTGAGACCCAGAGTCCTGTCATTTTAAGCTTTGGATAATTTTTCTTCTCAATTGCTTTAGTATGCTCCTTCTCTCCAAAACATGAGAAATTAATCCATTTGCACTGTAAAATAGGTGCACGCCAGGCCAGTTTCCACTGGACTCTAAACTCTGCTCACAGGCCCCCCGCATCTCTCAGAGGCTGGGGCTGGCTCCCCAGGGGGTGATTGAGAAATTGGTGCTTCCTGATTTGATCAGTTTCTGGATTCCATAATTTTAATTATAGCACCTCTCTTACCTCTAAGCCAGTCACTCTCAGTCTTGGCTGTACCTTAGAGTTCCCCGAGTACCATTTTAAATATCTTAATGTTCGGGGCCCAGCAGAATATCTGTTGAAAGTCGAGATAGGGTTCTGCTTTCTTTTTTTTTTTTTTTTCAAATTTCTACCCCCCCCCCCCCAACCCCCACCCACTCCCATCACCTCCGCTTGGAAACTGCAGCCAAGATTAAAATCCACAATGGAGACAAGGCTTGACTTGCTGGGAGAGAAAGAATTTTAAAATTTGAAGGCTGCAAAAAAGTCTTAGAACCTGTCTAGTTTCACCCTTTCATTTTATGGGCAGAGGAACTTGCCAAAAGCCGCATAGTTTGTGGCGAGTCTAGAACTCGAGGCACCACCGCCCCACTCCGCGTTCTTTTTCTAACACCTGATTTCATCCTTGTTGAAAGGGAGGCCAGCCACCACACGGCAACACAGCCCAGGGCACAGAAAGCTCCCTGGCAAACCTGAAAAGGAAGGGGAGATACTTTGAAAATATTAAAGGTTATTACCAGATGTCAAATGAATGTCATGGAAATCGCTTCAAGTTTTTCAACACGCTGGGACTAATTGAATTTATTTAAATGTCTTTGTCAGCTTGAGGGATTCTCGAGACTGCTCCTTGTCATTTTATCCCACTGTTAATCACCTGCAAGCCGACTTGAACTGGAAATAACTGTAAAATTTGTTATACTTCCACTGATCAGGATTCAAGACATTTGATTCTTAACAGTTTGTGTAGGATCAAAGATATGGCTGTCCTCCAAAAGGTTGGGGTGTTCACATCAAAGTTGAGGTTGATTCCTTTCAACCTGCTCCTCTCTTAGTGCTCAGGTTTAAGTTCTCGTTGAAGACTTTTAAACAGAGCCGTGCGTGTGTGCGCGTGCATGTGTGGGTGTGAATGTCAGCTATCGCCCAGACCCCTGAGTCCAGCTTCTCGGAGGTGATTTCTGAGCTCTCCCGGCTCTTGCCGAGTGGACTTGGTAAGCGGCCCTAAAAATGTCCTTTTGATAACTGGCCCAGGGACCTTTCTGATGGCGCTGATTCATCCAGTCACAGTTGTGTTGTCATGGAAAAGGTGTTTGACAGAGCAAATGCTGACCACCTGGCCTCCGGTGTGAAAAATGCTGAGACCCAGTCTGTCTTCTCATCAGGAAAAAATAGCATTTGATCCATGTCTGTCTCTCCTGTGCGGTGCCCGGCCTCAGGATGCGCTGGTTCAAGTCTTTCACTGCCTCCTTTTTCCTTGTTTCTCTTCCCCACCCTTGTCCCCTCTCTGGGCGAGTTTCGGAAGGGCCTGTCTGTGGGCGACAGTAAAGGAATTGCTTTTGCTTGTTTCAGGTGCTGGCGGCTCGGAGAGGTTTGTTATGCTGGGAGCTTAAGACAACAAACGTGTAGGGAGCCTGGATGCTGTCTAAAAGGGCGGACACAAGAATTTCTAATTGAGATAATATCCTTGTGTCTACCGAGAGCAATAGACACTTGCCTTCTTAAAAAAAAAGCATCTAAAGCTAATAGAATAGCAGTCATAAATACTTTCATGTCTGACTCACTTAAGCTAGAGTTGTAACTTAACATTACCATGTGCCTTTATATTATTGAAGTTTAAAGGCATTCCTTTCAAAGCCCGATGTTTGGCTCACGATGAAAGAGAATCAAACAGCTTATTCTAAGTTACGTTCAGTAATTACATAAGTAACCCTTTAAATACTAGATATGCAAATAATGCACTATTCTTTCTGTAATTACTTTGTGTACACGGTTTGATAGACTCCCAAGACGGTAATACATGTTTGTGGGGAAGATCAGCAAATACGATTTCTCTATGAATGGGAGACATGAACTAGGAATTGAGAGATTTGCAGTTGCTCTGAGTTAGGGCTTGTGACCACTTGGTAGGAAAATGCCTGGAAGATCTGGGTGGGGGTCCTAGGTAAAGTGGAGGGCTTGCTTAGAGCCGGACAGAGCTCTCTTTGCTCTGAGCTCTCTGAGACTCCCCGATTTTGTGGGTTTCCAGTCTTGAAAGAACCAATCCCCTCAAGAGGTTTTTGGCACTTTGTCTGGTTGGGCTGGAAATACCTCCGTAGGTGTTTCAGAGGCTTCATGCTTCCCTCAACTTAATCCAGGAGAAGAGGGTGACCTGGGCATATGCCCCACTTCCACACACCCCCAACCTTTGAAGGAGGAAATGGGGGGATTTGGACTTAGATCAGTGGCTTTCAGCCCTCCTCCCAAGAATATGCTTTTAAAAACAAGTTCTTTTCGGTGTGATTCCTGCTCCTTGTAAGTTCACCAGAATCAGAGGCTGGAGGCTGCATCCCATCCCCTCTCCCCGCCCCGCGTCCCAGACAGAGCCGCTGTTGACAGGGCTGTAAGCTTCCCTCCAGATGCGCGCCCACTGCAAAGGCAAATGCGGCTCTCAGGGCACCCGCCCCACTTGCCCACAGGACGTGTCCCTACTGCAAAGGCAAATGAGGCTCTCAGGGCACCCGCCTGCTTGTATTGCTGCCACGAACGCTCTGTCCTCCCCTCTGGGCGAGGTCTCCCTTCTCACCCGCACGCCCGTCAGAGGGGCACGTTGGCCCTCATTCTCCCCCAGGCTGAGATAATCTACCATCTGTCCCGCCGGCCACAGAAGTCGGCTCGTGGACGGCATGAGGCTCACTCACTCACAAAGATACTTTGTACCTGCCAGCCCCCTGCAGAGAGTGTCCCAGGGACGTGGGGCTGTCCAGCAAAGGCTCCGGCTCTTCAGGAAGTGATGTTCAAAGGAGGGCGGGGATGGAGCAGACTTTAGGTCAGTGCCCATTAAACATGAGCAGGTCATTAACATCTGTATGTTGGGTGGATGGGGTGCTGGGGCCCAGTGAAGGCTGTGTGCTCAGTCACTTCAGCCGTATCTGACTCTTTAGTGAGCCTGCGCTCTGTAACCCGCCAGGCTTCTCTGTCCCTGGGATTCTCCAGGCAAGAGTACTGGAGTGGGGAAGGTTCCCACTCCCAGGGAAGGTTAGAGACTGTCTATTCCAAAGGAGGAACTAGGCATGGCCTTTGAAGGATGCACGCTCAGCTCTTGGTGGCCACGTTTGATGCTGAAGCTTCGGCCTCTCCCTGGGCCCTGGAGCCCCTGGTGACCTCGTTCCTCCAGCTCATTTTGAGATGTCCGTCAGGTGGATGTTGGCCTTCTCGATTTGCTTTCTGCGTCTCTAAGTTTTCTTTTGTATTTTCCATCTTGCTCTTCCTTCCCCCCCTCAACGTTCTGGGAGATGTTCCTCTCCTGCCGAGTACCTTTACTCTCCCGCCATGCTCAGATGTTCAGGCTGTCTGCAGAATGCTTCCTTCCGGTAAAATGATTTCTGCTTCTTTTTCACAGGAGCCTGGTGCTTTAGGGACACTGGCTGTTCTCTCATCACCCTAGGAATGCGGATTCCCAGAGAGCTTGCTAAAGTGCTTTAGCATCTGCCTTACCTCTGTCTTCTCCCGGTGAGTTCTGGGGATCCATCTTGCTCCTCTTGGTTCTGGGGTGCACCCCTGTGGGGGAAGGGTTCTTGCCTTCCGTCCAGGGGGCAGTTCGGGGCTCTTTTGCATGTGTGGGTCCCCGGCCCAGCTTCCTCCTCACCCCATGACGGGCTGTGCTTTCTGTGAAAACGTGACTGTGTCCCCGCCTTCCTGCCGGGCCTGGGGATGTCACATCTGCTCTGGTTCCCTAGCAGTCCCTTTCTCCCCCAGACCTCACCTTTCCTCTGGGAGCTGGCCTGGACCCGAGAAAAAGGGAACAGCATCCCACTGAATTCCAGGGGGGCCCCGATGCTGCTCCAGGGTGGTCTCGGGGCGAGCGGCCGCTGCGGTTGGGGGCCCGCCCCCCTCTGCCCTCAGGACAGGGCTCCCTTTGGGCGGGTGCCCCGTGGTTTCCCCTCTCCTCTCCTCGTCAGGCTGGCTGTTCGTGTGTCCTGTATTTTCAGGGACTGACCAGCAATGCCTGGGAAAGAGGGTGCAGTGTGGGCTCGGGGGGCCTCATTCACCCCGGCTCTAGAAGGCGGAAGCCCGGCACATCCCTGGGACACACGTACACTTTGAGATGTGGCAGGGAGAGTGAGCCTCGACCTGAGGACCTCGCAGGTCCTCGCTCCTCAAGTCAGAGCCGGGTGACCTCGGGTGAGTCGCTGGGATGCTCCGAACCCGGGTTTACGCATGCGTGTCCTGGCCCCCGATTCCTATGGATGGAAGGGGCTGACTGGGCTCTTGGTCCCAGCCCCTTCCAAGCACGCACCACGTGGCTGGTGCCCCCTAGCCGCCAAGAGGAAGGCACACTGGGCCGTGATGCTCAAACACTGAGCACTAAAAATTATGCCAGGAATTCGGTCCCTCTGGTCCTCGCATCACGAAAAATGTGGCCCCGGTGCCGGGTGAATAGCTGGGCGGGAGGCCTCAGGCCGGAGCGCCGCTCCCGTCAACACCGGCGAGGCCGCAGCGCGGCGTGTTTGCCGCATGCCTGTCCTCTGTGTCGGCGGAGCGTTTCAGGGGCGATGAACCGGAGCCGCGGGCCCAGCCCACCGAGGCGGGAGAGGGGCCGTCCGGGCCTTTGTTAGCGGCTCACCTTTCAGGTCCTGGGGGCTCCTCCCCCACCTCCCTGCAGACAAAACAACCTCCACTGACAGAGCGACTTCAGGAGACGAGGGCCTCCGACCAAGCTCTTCAAGCGTGAGGCATCTGGTTTGCCATTTCAACGAGCGGTCTGGGCCCCGTGAGTGCGCCCACGTTTGGGGGACCCCAGAAGGTGACCAAGTCACTGCCCCAAAGACAGGGGGCACCGGCGTTGTGACAGCAGATTCTGGTGGAAATAAACTCCCGTGGGGCCACTTGGGGGCTTAAAACCCCACTATCACTCGTCATATCCACATTCCAAGCGGATGCCAACCTGTGGGTCCTCTCGAGTCCTTATCGCTCGTCAGTCCAGTAGAGTTTTCTTTTTCTAAAAAAATTAATTAATTTATTTTAATCGGAGGCTAATTACTTTACAATGGGCTTCCCTTCTGGCTCAGCTGGTAAAGAATCTGCCTGCAATGCGGGAGACCTGGGTTTGATCCCTGGGTTGGGAAGATCCCCTGGAGAAGGGAAAGGCTACCCACTCCAGTATTCTGGCCTGGAGAATTCGATGGACTGTATAGTCCACGGGGTCGCAAAGAGTCAGACACGACTGAGCGACTTTCCTTTCCTTTACAATATTGTGGTGGTTTTTGCCATACATTGACGTGAATCAGCCACGGGTGTACATGTGTCCCCATCCTGAACCCCCTCCCACCTCCCTCCCCACCCCATCTGGCAGGGTCCTCCAGTGCACCGGCCCTGAGCGCCCTGTCTCATGCATCGAACCTCCAGCAGCGTTTTCTGTGATGATGGAAATGTCCTGTGTCTCTCCAGAATGGTAGCCACTGGCCACACGACTGTTCAAATGCGGCTGGAATGACTGAGAAACTAAAATTCTAAGTTGTATTTCATTTAAATGAATTTCTTTTGACTGTGCCACGTGGCACAGGATCTTCGCTCGCCAACCAGGGGTTGAACCCCAGCTCACGGTGGTGAAAGCGTGGAGTCCCAACCACGGGGCAGCCAGGAGAGTCCCTTGCTTACAGGAACTTAAATAGGAGTTTAAACAGTCACAGACCTCAGCGCCGCCTGTCTGGGGCGGTGCACCTCTGGAACACTTAGTTACTTGGCTGGGTTGCAGGCCTCTAGGCAGTGGACAGAGCGAGCGAGCGTCCCCTGCCTAAAATAGCCCTGCCGCTGCCCTGTCTGTAGTCTCGTGGTTAGAGAGATGCTGGTCCCTCTCACAGCATCCCGAGAGAGGTGGACAGAGAAGGATAAGGCCTGCAAAGGTGTCGGCTAGCTCACATAGCGCTGACTCTGCCGTCAGAGGTACGCCCCTTAAGGCAGCCCCCAGGAAGACAGTAGGGGAGGACTCGGGCTCCTGCGGGCAGGGCCAGAGGTTGAAGCTGAGATCCGAATTCCTCGCTGGGAAGGAAGAGCAGTGAAGACAGGGCCCAGTGCCAAGGGGCTCCGGGTCCCCGACTTGAGAAGGGAGCTGGCTGCAGAAAGGAGGCCAGGACGAGGGAGGGCGACGGGCCCGTTTGGCTGTGGGTCAGCCGTGCCCTTCCTACACCACGCAGGCTGCTCAGCGTCCACAACCAGCAGGGGTTCCAGCCCCGAAGGCTGGCAGAGGCGGCAGAGAGGGCAGGAAAGCCCTCTCCCTGTGAATTCAGCTCATGCCTCGCTCCTGGAGAAGGGAATGGCAACCCACTCCAGGATTCTGGCCTGGACAGTCCCACCGACAGAGAAGCCTGGTGGGCTACAGTCCATGGGGTCACAAAGTCAGACGTGACTGAGCGACTCTCTCACACACACACCTAGTTCACCCACCTGTTCTATTCTCCAGTATTAGAGACACAAATCCTCGGTCATCTCTAAGTCTGACTGCGCTTTCCTGAAACACAAGCTGTTCTCTTGTTCAGCCTCCCTGGGAGATGGGGTCATGGACATCTCCACACCAGGATGTCAGCGGAATTCCTGAGGCTGCTCTTTTGTGGAAAAACCACCCCAACTTGGATTCTCGCCATCTCTCATGTCTCTGAAGACCAGGAGACCTAAGGTGGAGCAGACCCGTGTGCTTCCTGCAGCACTTTCTTCCTGTGGAGGCTCCTGGCCCCAGGATCCCCTCCGGGGGGCTTCCTCCTGCCCTGAGCCGCATCAGCCTTCCATCAGCTCTGCTTCCGTTCTTGGGCACGGCCAGGCTCCATCCTGAGTGCCCTCTCCAGAATCTAGGAGGGAAGGCAAACTGAGGACAGGACGGGGCCCCGCAGGGCCATCGCAGGCGGTGGAGGAGGGTGGCGCTTGGCATCAGCCCGATGGCACTCAAAGCCCTCTGCCCGCCCGATGGCCTGTGCTCACGCGGAAAGTGACCGGGATCTAATGGAGAAAACATGCCTTATACAATTTTCTAAGACTGTGACCCGTTCCTACCTGGCCTGCCCCTTGGGGATAGTGTGCTCTATCTAGGCTTTGTGAAAACTGAAGTTATTCCATCCCATGGAGATCCAGGGAGAAAAGCCTCCAGCGTTTCTTCCTGAGTTGGGAGTTTTATGAGACACCCTGACAGCTGTCGTCATCTCTTATAGTCAATGCTTCATACCAGCCAGGATGCAGGTCCAGGCAGCAGGGTTGTGGCTGCTCCCAAGAGACATAGAGGTTAGGGCTGGTGAGCCAGCAATCAGGGGCTGTGGAGTGTTCAATACCTGGTCCGTTTCATCTGAGGTCCCCGGGGCCCAGAGAGGAGACAGTGGGCTCAAGCTGGGAGCCCTTCCTTCAGTCCTAGTATTGATGCTAACTTGCTCCACGACTTGAGCAAGGCACATCATTTTTTGAGGCCATCTGTTGAACGGGCTGACACCCGTAGATGTCTAGAACACCAAACCATTCACTGGGGGCTTCCCTGGTGGCTCACAAAGTAAAGAATCTGCCTGTGATGCGGCAGACCTAGGTTCGATTCCTGGTTTGGAAGAGCCCCTGGAAAAGGGACTGGCTGCCCATCCTTGCCTGGAGAATTCCGTGGACAGAGGAGCCTGGTGGGCTACAGTCCATGGGGTCGCAAAAAGTTGGACACGACTAAGCATGTAGCACTTCTTCTAAACCATTCACCGTGTAATTCTGGACACAAACCAGACTGACACATGTATTTAAGTTCCCAATTAAAAAAGAAAAAGATGGTCTGTGTTACACTAGAGCTAGTTTTGTGATGCTGGAACACGCGGATGGAGAGAGCAAGAGAAATAGTCCGGCTGTCCCTTCGCAGTTCTTTCTGTGGCTGGTGATTCGAGGCCCTGTTGAGCAGCATTTGTGTCATTTGCAACTGGTTTGGGTGTGAATGGGATCCTGGACAGAGGAGCAGACCCGCCTCAGAGATTCTTACCTGTCCACTCACCGAGATGGACACCCTGTCCTTTTGACATTTGTCAGGGAGCTCCAGTGCATTCAAAGCCGAATGGTGTGCCCACCAAAAACATTTTCCTTATTATGTTGGTGCTGAGGTTCTAAATCAGTTAGGGTACATTAGGTGTTCCTTCTTTAGAATGGTTTTGGTCTATGACTATGGAGGTTCTTTTATCCCTCCTGTCGAAACTATTGATCATCTGTCACCGACGCTGACTGAAAACAGCATGTGTTGTCTCTGGAGGAGTCTGCAGACAGGAAGCAGGTGTACTCACATGGTTCAACACCGAACCAGGGGTCTCCTGAGCAGTTTTCAGGAGAGACAGTGAGCAGACACCCAGGAGACCTTAACTTTGTATACCCCTGTGAAGCCAAGCCCAGGATTTGCAGTGCATTTTATTTGCATTTATTGTAAATGTATTTATTTTTAAATGAAGGATACTTGCTTTACAGTATTGCATTGGTTTCTACCAAACACCAGCATGAATCAGCCATTTTAAGAGAATATCTAAGGTATGTATGTCTGAGGTTGTGTTTCTGAAATCTAAGCCTGAAAATACAGGGAGTAATTGAAAGCCCAAATCTCTTTGCTTTTCTAAAATCACCAGGTTGAAGCCGAAGTCAAATATCTGTGACCTATAGGAGTTGCTCTCATTTTGAGTTCATGGTCTTAGGGTAGACGTGAATATCTGAAAGAAGTTAGGGAAGGTGGTTAAAGAGTGTGGGTGAAGGTCCTGGTTATGTTCTGTCCCTGGGGTCAGAGTAGCCACGGGTCCCTCTGGCCTTTGGAACCCCCATGGTGGAAGGTGAGGGGTGGAAAGTCTCCTGGAGGTTATTTCTACCTCTCACTGACCTGAACGTGGGTCTCTTCTATAACTAAACTCTGTCGCTACAGGTTGAATATTTCTCTGCACTATCCTTCTGTGAAGATGGGGAATAGCCAGGCCATATTTACACTTGCCCTTTATATGTTTTGTGACTATACATTTACTCTGTAATGAATTTTATTTTCTTGGGCTCCAGAATCACTGTGGATGGGGACCGCAGCCACGAAATTATAAGACACTTGCTCCTCGGAAGGAAAGCTGTGACAAAGCTAGACAGCATGTTAAAAAGCAGAGATATCACTTTGCTGACAAATGTCCATCTAGTCAATGCTATGGTTTTTCCAGTAGTCATGTATGGATATGAGAGTTGGACTATACAGAAAACTGAGTGCCAAAGAATTGATGCTTTTGAACTGTGGTGATGGAGAAGACTCCTGAGAATCCCTTGGACTGCAAGGAGATCCAACCAGTCCATCCTAAAGGAGATCAGTCCTGAATATTCATTGGAAAGACTGATGGTGAAGCTCCAATACTTTGGCCACCTGATGTGAAGAGCTGACTCATTGGAAGAGACTGTGAAGCTGAGAAAGATTGAAGGCAAGAGGAGAAGGGGGCAACAGAAGATGAGATGTTTGGATGGCATCACCGACTCAATGGACATGAGTTTGAATAAGCTCCAGGAGCTGGTGAAGGACAGGGAAGCCTGGCGTGCTGCAGTCCATGGGGTCGCAAAGATCTGGACATGACATAGTGAGTGAACAACAACAACAGCAATATAT